AAAATTTTTGGTTTACACAATTTTTCTATTTTTTACTTATGATAGTTATTTTAAAAAATTATTAACTTATATATATTTTTCTTACAAATTATTTTAGGTGAGGGGGGGGGGGTGTCAAATTTTTATTAGCTTGAAAAGATATTTAGGAGAAGGGGTACATTCTTGCCCCCTCCTCCGGGACTTCGCTCATATTTTATCTTCAAAAGTAATGATGATATCAAAATTTGTAGCAACCGCGATTTTAATTTGATGATGGTTTGAAGTTATGATAAAAGATGTTTGAAAAATAAAATAAATTGGGTTTCTTATAAGAAATACTAATTTATTTAAGTAAAGTCCACATGGCAAGACAAATAAGATTTAGGGTTTTTATAGGATTTATTGATGACCAGGTTACCATGATTGAAAAAAAATATATTAAAACTTTAATTTAAATTATAATTTATAAAACTTGGTGGCTGACATAGACATGTTTTACATTTATTCGTGTCATATTTATAACCATATTGACAAATATTCAGGCAGGTTGGAACCACACATCCAGCAACAGAGGCTATTTATGTTTTGTTTAAATAAATGTAGGGAACATTTATGAAAATATTTACGGAAAATAACTAAAATAATGAAAGTTTTGTATGTTATTATTACTTGATATTATTGTGTTTGTCGTTTCTAGCTCTATAAGTCAAAATTATGAATATTATATAATATGATTAATTTACCTGTTATATTCTTTTGCCTAGATGGGGAAGCTAGAAAATGAAATTATAAAATTAAATAGAAATTATGAATTATATTTCATATAATATTTACCGCTATTCTGCGATGGTATATAAATTCCCGTAGTTTGTGATTGTGTTTGATTTGCGAGAGATTCCGTTGTAGATATGGATGCATTTGAGTATGTAGTCGTTTTAGATGTTTGTAGGGTAGTTGAACTGGTAATGTTTCCTATGTTTATACTTGCAGAGGACTTGGGAATATTAGATGAAATAATGGAAGATAAACTAGATGACGATATTATATTTTCATTCCCTGTTCCAGTCGCTAAACTTAAAACTTTTGTAAATTGCGTTCCATTTTGTGTCGTGATATTTTGTATTAAAGTTGTATAAATTGACCCTGTTAACGTTATATTTCCCGTGGTCACTGCTGAAGAGGGACTGATACTGTTTAAATTAGATTTTGTTGATAGGAATCTAGATGTATTCTGTCTGGATATCATAGTTCCAATAGATTTAGTTAATTCAACACCTGAATGAGTTTCTTCATGCTGTGTTGTACTCTCTTTAGATATTCTAGTACCTAGAAATTTAGATGTTTTATTGAAAATAGATGATTGAACTTCAGTAGAAATAGATGTTCCAATAGTGAGATTCATATTCATTGTTTTAACATTTGCAGTTGTTAATTTACTAGCATATAGCGTCCCTGTTCCATTATATAAGGTGCTGCCGGTAGAGGCATTACCAATTTTTGTAGAAACCCTTCTCTGTTCAGTGGTGGTAGTAGTAAAAACATTTTGCGTTTGTTTAGATTTACCTGTCAGAACTGAACGTTTTATACTTGCTATGGTTATTTCAGATGTTGGTGTGTGACCTTGGCTTATAGATAAAATTCTGGATGTTGTTAGGGTGACTTGCTTTGTAGTTCCTTTAGATAAAATTTCGGATGCTATTCCTTTGCTTTGGCTTATAGTTCCATTAGATAAAATTTTGGATGTTGTTGTGTTGCCTTGGCTTACAGTTCCTCCCGTTGAAATTTCGGATGTTGTTGTGTTGGCTTGGTTTATAGTTCCTCCAGATAAGATGGTTATATTTCCTAGAGTTGCCGTTTCATTGTAAACATTGGATGACTTTGTTGCAAAGGGTGTCAGAGATTTCATATTGAAAGTACCCATTCCCTTCGATTCCTCTAAAGTAGACATGCTAGTTATAGTTGAGATATGATTTTTATAACTACCTGAAAATATGTTTATAGAGGTGGATAATTTTCCAAGACCATTGGTGGATATGCTCAACTTATTTTTCTTTGATGATTTGATTTCGTTTTCTGTAGTAACTGCTGATACTTTAGTTGAGCTAGTTGTTGATGAAATGTTAATCTTGCTTATAGAGACTTTCTCAGTATTTGTGCTTAAGGGAGTAGAGGTTATGTTATAATTTATGTTAGTTGTTGATTTTAAGCTCTCTTTTAATGTGGCCCGACTTGTTTCAGTAGTTGTTTCTAAGGAAACATTAATTTTCTTTACAGAGACTTTTTCTGTATTTGTGCTTAAGGTAGTAGTTAAAGATATATTGCCAGTTTCAATACTTGTTTCTAATGAAATATTAATGTTTTTTTTAGAGACTTTGCCTGTATTTGTATTTAAGGGTGAAGTTAAAGATATGTTCTTATTTATGTTCGTTGTTGAATTTAAGCTTTCTTTTAACGTGGCCCCACTTGTTTCACCAATTTCAGTAGTTGTTTCAAATGAAATATTATTTTTCCTTACAGTTACTTTTTCTGTATTTGTGCTTAAGGGAGTAGTTAAAGATATGTTATTATAAATATTTGTTGATGATTTTATGCTCTCATTTAAAGTGGCATGTCTTGTTTCGCCAGTTTTAGTATTTGTTTCAAATGATATGTTTATGTTTTTTTTAGAGACTATGCCTGTATTTGTGGTTAAGAGTGTGGTTAAAGATATGTTATTATTAATGTTCATTGATGATTTTAAGCTCTCATTTAATGTGGAATGTCTAATAAGGCCAGTTTCAGTACTTGTTCCTAATGAAATGTTAAAGTTCTTTTTAGTGATTTTTCCTGTATTTGTGCTTAAGGTAGTAGTTAAAGATATGTTATTTATAATGTTCGATGATGATTTTAAGCTCTCATATAATGTGGAATATTTTATTTTGCCAGTTTCAGTACTTGTTTTTAATGAAATATTAATATTTTTTTTAGAGACTTTGCCTGTATTTGTGCTCAAGGGAGTTGTTAAAGATATATTCTTATTTATGTTCGTTGTTGATTTTAAGCTCTCTTTTAATGTAACCAGACTTGCTCCAGTAGTTGTTTCTAATGAATTAATTTTCCTTACAGAGACTTCTTCTGTATTTTTGCTTAAGGTAGTAGTTAAAGATATGTTATTATTAATGTTCACTGATGATTTTAAGCTCTCATATAATGTGGAATACCCTACGCTAGCTTCAGTACTTGTTTCTAATGTAATGTTTTCCTTAGAGACTTTGCCTGTATATGTGTTTAAGGGAGTAGTTAAAGATATGTTCATATTTATGTTCGTTGTTGATTTTAAGCTCTCTTTTAATGTGGCCTGACTTGTTTCACCAGTTTTAGTAGTTGTTTCAGATGAAATATTATTTTTCTTCTCAGAGACTTTTTCTGTATTTGTTCTTAAGGTAGTAGTTAAAGATGTGTTATTATTAATGTTCGTTGATGATCTTAAACTCTCATATAGTGTGGAATATCTTGTTTCGCCAGTTTCAATACTTGTTTCTAATGAAATGTTAATGTTTTTTTCAGAGACTTTGAATGTATTTGTGTTTAAGGTTGTAGTTAAAGATATGTTATTATTAATGTTCACTGTTGATTTTAAGCTCTCATTTAATGTGGAATATCCTGCGCTAGCTTCAGTACTTGTTTCTAATGAAATGTTAATGTTTTCCTTAGAGACTTTGCCTGTATGTGTGTTTAAGGGAGTAGTTAAAGATATGCTCTTATTTATGTTCTTAGTTGATTTTCTCTCTTTTAATGTGCCCCGTGTTGTTTCACCTGTTTCCATACTTGTTTTTGATGAAATATTTAATCTTTTGATTGATATAGTTGCCCTACTTTTGACAATATTACTATATGAGGCATTGTTAATTGATAATTTAATAGTAGTCGTGTATTTTTTTAGTATATTTTCTGAAGCATTACTATTGTATAATAAAGAGGTAACCGTTGTCATATTATTGGTAGTGTATGAAACAGAAGATTCGGCGCCACTGATTGTTGCGTTACTTTCAGTTGGGGCAAATGTCTCATTAGACACCAAAGTAATATTTTCCCCATTATGAGTGAATACCATAGGAGTTGTCGAAGTGGTTTCAGAGGACATGCTTAATGTTTTAGATGTAGAAGCTGTCACTAAGCTTGCATTTTCGCTAAAATTTTGGGAAGTTTTGCTCACACCAGTTGCTTTACTTTCCTTTACAGAGACTTCCTCTGAAAATATTTGAGTAATATTGCTAGTAAAAGTCGTTAGGCCAGAAATACTTGATGTTTTTTTTGTGTTCACTTTTAGCGATACATTTAAATTTGTATAAAGGTTGGCAGTGGTAGCTTTGGGGGATATACCATTACTTTGGCTGCCATTGATTGTAGAAAATAACAAAGTGGGCGTGATTGATCCGTTATTTTCCTGTATATATTTGCTAATATTGCCTGTAGAAAATGTCAGAGTGGGTGTGTATGATGTATTATTTTCATGCATAGATATGCTAATATTGCTTGTAGAAAATGTCAAAGTGGGTGTGGTATATGAATATACTTTCATTCGTACTGTGGCATTTGATAAAGTATACATAGGGGTATTAGTTTGATTAGTTTCTACCATAGAATTAGTTTTACTTGTATTTTTTAGAAAGACTGCAGAAGATGTTGACATTTCATAAGACAAGACACTACTTTTCTCAGAAGCACCAGTAGTCGAAATCGGTAGCGAAGATATCTTTAATGTCCCATTCCCAATTGCAGTGGTTTCGATTGTAGATGATACAATTGATGAAGGCGTAATTGAAGATGATATCGATTTCCTAAGTAAAGAATTGGATGATGTTTCTTGAGTTAGTGTTATATATTTGCTTGAGGTAGATCTACTGACTTTCAATTTACGAGTCGCATTTGTACTAAAACCACTAAAAGGCGTGGAATATGTAGACGAAATTTTTTTTGCTCCTTTTGGTGTCAATGTCATTTCGACCATCGATCCAGTTTTCTCATTACCTTCGATCGTTGTAAAGGAAGCATTTGAAGTTGTTTGAGATGTAGACTTAACCAAGGGTGTGAAGTTCGTAGTCCCAGATGTTAGATTTAAGGATGAATATCTAGCTGAAAATATTTATAATTGATTTGTAAAACATTAATTTGTATATACTACAAATTAATTAATTAATCTAGAAATTTATTAAATGAGTGAAGTAAAGAATTTATATTATAACTGACTTTGATAAAGAAAAAGAATAATTGGTAATTTGTACTCATATAAGGAGTGCCACTTGTTTCCAATGTCTTTGTAAAGCTGCTCATATACTCTGTTACATTGGTCTTTTGATTGGGAAAAGTGGATTTGGTTGTTGCTCAATTTTTATAAGGATTATTTAATAGAAATAAAATAATTTATAAAAAATAAGATGAATTTAAATAATTGTTTTTAGTTTTATTTCTTCCCTTTTTTATTTTTTGACATAACAGGGTTCTCCATTCAGAATTGAAAAGTCCCAATTAAATAAAGTGCTATTAAAAAAAATACTCGATCAAAAAAGGAAAATTGTCAAACAAAAAAAGAAAAGCGTCAAAAAAAGAATATTCAGATTAAAAAAGGTAAATAGTTATAAAATTATATTTATTTTGTCATTTTTATAACGGTGATATATGACCGTCTGTTCTTAAATTTTTGGTTATTATTTCAAAAATTTTGCGATCTCTCAATAATTCTTTATAAATCCTTATTTTTCTAATGTTTTCTTAATTTTTTCTTTCTTCTAAATTTTAATCATTCACTTTTTTAAAAAACAATATCTTTATTTTTCCTGTCATTCTTCAATTCTTTATTCTTTTTTTATCCTACATAATGAATTTTTACCTTATATTATTATTATTTTAGATGTCACTTAATTTTTATTTCTCTTTGTCAATCAATATTATTTATTAATATTTTTCTCTTTTTTTCAAATCATTTTATTTATTTAAAAATAGGAGATATACACTAAATAATTAAAAAAATATATATTAAAAAAAACAAATAAGCATATATTAAAAATAAATTAAAAAAAATATATACCTATAAAAAACAACTGAGAAAAAAAATATTAAAAAAAGTGTACAAATCATTCTAGAGAATAGTGAATTATTAAAAAATTAGATCTGCAGATTTCCAGGGAAATCTGCCGACGAAAGTAAAATCCTTCATTGGGGTCCCCTGAGATCTGTCTTATTTTTTTCCTATAATTTTAATGAAATTGAGGGCATCACTTCCAAACATGCCTTGGGTATTGGTAACAATCGGTATGAACACAGTGTTGGTAAAGCCATAAAATATAATAAATTTATCGAACAATAAATAAATTGGTAAAATTAAGAAATATTTATTGTTGAAGTCATATATTATATAAATAATCATAGAAAATAAATATATTTTATATACAGTATTGTGATAATTTAATGAAACATTAGTTTTGCGGGAGTGAGATATCTGCGCCTAAACTAAAAAATTGCGGGAGTCTACCTACGATGGGGGGAGACCTGGCAACCCTGTTCATTTTTGAAAATGAACTTGAACGTGTGGGAGTTCGATTTTTTTAGAATCATTTAAAGCACTATCTATGAATAATTAAACGTAAAGTGGTAAATGTTATCATTTAATATTAGTCTCGTCTGTCATTCAATCCATTTAATGACTGTCTTAAAAATATTATTATTTTTTGCTTTAAAAAATATATTATTAAAGATATGCTAGTATAATAACATGCAAAAAATAGATTGATGATGCTACAAAAGCTTTAATAATTGATGCATTAAAAAGGATAGTATCAAAATTATAACATCGTGCTCATAAGGTAACCTATAAAACTGATCAATATATAAAATATAGTTTACCCAAAGATACCTGACTAGCATGCATGAAACTAAATCAAGAATAAGAAGAATCACTGGGGTATCCAGGATTTTCTTATAGGGGAGGAAAATTTTTTTTGGGTTTGGGGGCGGGCCGGGTCTTATGTTTTAGCTATTCTATTAGATTATTTATAATTTAATAATAATTATATTTATATTTTTAACTATTATTTACTAATTCTTGCTTATGGATATTACAAGCCTATTTTTTATTATTTCAAGTTAGGTATATTATTATATATAATAAAGTTTTTTTAAATGTAAAGTTCAAATAAAGTGTGATGTCATTTTTTTTATAAAATTTGCTTTAAAAACTAGCCTCAGCTTAAATTCTCATACAATATAAGTAGAATATAATTTTTTTATTGAAAATACTAATAGTAGTGTGTATAAAATATTGACTAGAAAATAATTAAATTAACAAGTTTTTTTTTTAACTTCTTATCAAATACAATATTATACAAAATATTTTCTATAATTATAATGTGATTTTTAATTTTCGTGGGAATGTTGCCAATTCCTCAAGAATTTCGTTTGTAGTTGGAACCAAACCACTGTGGATATTTAACAGAGCTAAACCATTTAGCCGAGATTCAGTACTTCGTAAATATGTTTTTAACCTTCTCAAGTTGGAAAAAGTCCTTTCATTCGGCAACCATGCAAAAATATAAAACAACTTCAAAATATTAGGAAATTGAGCCAAGGTTTCTTTACACCGATTGAGCACATCAATAGCATGCTCAGGAAAAATAGCTAATCGTAGTAAATATTTATACCACAATTCGAATTCACTGATTAAATTTATTCAGTATCAATCTCATAATAAAATTTTGCTAAATATTTAATTTTACCAATAGTGGCATTAGAAAACGAAGAAGGATCTTTGGGTAATAAAACTTGAAGATTGCTAAAGACTCGTTTTTTATCTAAAAACCGTACTTTTATTTGCGATAAAAAAGTATCTAAGAATAGGATGAAAATGGATATTTTATATTATTTTTCAGTTGAGCCAATATTTATTTTACATCTCAATAATGGCCTAGGTGCTAGACGAGGTTTAATTAGTGTTATATCATAAAATTTAGCCTTCGATTCAACGTCTAGATAAATATTATGAAAATAATTATCTACATTCATTCTTATTGTATCTACCTGTTCATATATATTTTCCGCCAAATCAATAACCTGAACCAAATCTAAATTTGGTTTTTGTAAATTTCTACAAAGTAGTGAGCTAAAAATAATTTATTGATGCAACTAGCAGCAATGATAAACTCTGATTGATCAATTGAATTCAATAATGATATCGCTTCTGACGACACATTACTTTTTTTCATGCTAAGCCTTATTTAACTTTTGTATTTCTATTTCTTCTGTTCTACAAAATGGAAGTAAAAATGAAATTATAGATATTTATTAATAATTAAAATATTATTAAAAATACTTATTAATTCTAACTCACTAATAATTTTGAATTTAATAAAATAAATATATATAATAATAAAATAAATTATCTTTTGATTTCAATCTCTGACTAAATATTTTTCCATTATTATTATTTTTGAATAATATATTGGAAAATTGATATGGGGGGGGGGGGGTAAAATATTTATTAGCTTAAAATGATATTTATGAAAACAGTCAAATTTGAGACAATCCCACCCCCCCCTCCCCCCCATTGGTTACGCGCCTGAGAAGAATATATATTAAGTTGTAAATTTTGATTATACCTTATCCTTATAAATTTCATATGAAATGAGTGTATGATGTAGAAAAATTAAAAAATAGTTACTCTCTCGATTTAGGTATAGTTTTCAGTTAGAGAAAATACCAAATCATATAGAGAGATTTATAAAAAATACGGGAATTGGTTTGTGAATGTATAGCCTGTATGAAAGAATAATTTATTTATATTGAAGGGAGCGGTTTTTCAATATCAAATGAAAAGGCTATTAAAAATGTCTAAGTGAAAGACAATAAATTTTACTATCATTGTTGCAATGTTAATATTCAGATTCGAGATTCTTGGCTCTAATAGAATCGATAGAAAGGAAAAAGCTTACAATGAAATATTTACCACCATAAGCCTAATCCCATTAAAAATGTTTTTCCAATTGAAGGATTTTGTCAGAATTCAAAATCCTAATGAGGTGGAATTAATTCTCTTTATGAAACATGGAAAAAGAAGACTAACTGAGGAAAATGCAGCGAATTATTTTAGAAATATGGAAACCTATATTCTAAAATGTATAAGAGGAAATATTTTTATTGATTATATAATTTTTTGTTTCTTACTATATATTGCAATTGATATTAAATAATTTGATATAGAAAAATTTTAATAAAAAGATTTGATCGCCAAAGAGGAATAAAAATTATGTGAAATTTAAAAAATAAAATATATGGAAAAAGAAAATGATAAAAAATTAGGTAGGATAAAAAAGAGATAAAAGAATGGTTATAAATGATATAAAAATAGAGAAATGAAGAAAATTGACAGGGGAAATAAAGAAATTATTTTTAACATGACAAAAAAAGTATGCTCAAAAATGAAAAGAAAGAATAATAAAGAAATTTGAGAAAAGATTAGAAAAATAAAGATTAAAAATAACCAAAAAATTTAAGAAAAATCATATATTAGGGATAAAAAATGACATAAACTATAATTTTTGTTTATATATTTAAAAATAATAACGATTTTCCTTTTCCTTTTCTCAATGAGAATTTTTGTTTTTTGATTTAGACTTTTCCTTTTCTCTTAAAAATTTTCTTTTCATGATTGACTTTTCCTTTTTTGATCAGATTCCCTTTTTTGATTAAAACTTTTCCTCTTTTGATTGACCCTTTTCCTTTTTTGATCGGACTTTTCCCTAAATCTTTGTTACTTTTCCTTATACATTTTTTCTTGATTGGATTAACCTTCGTAACTTATCATTTTAGATTGATATTTTCCTTTTGATTTGATCTTTTCCTTTTGATTTGATCTTTTCCTTTTTTGATTGACACTTTTATTTTTTGATTAGACTTTTACCTTTTACCTTTTATAATTTACACTTTTCCTTTGATTGGGATTATTCCTTTTCTTGGATGAGAAACTTACACCAATAAATTTCCATATTATAATTTTAGAACTTAATAATTGGTATCGGTGCTAAAAGATATAGAAATATAGTTTAAATCAAGTTTCAATTTTATATTTCTCAAAATCGACATATTTTTAGAATCATTTTTTGACAATTTTTGAAATGCCCATAGTTAAGAAACAAAATTACAAAAAATATTTACGAATTTATAATATAAACCTTCAATTTTTGGTGTAGTACAATTGTATTTATAATCTACTATGTAATACGGTATGATCTCTAGCTCCCATATTTCATACATTGATAATTCGTAAGTTTTATTTTGCAATTGTGTCAAAACAAGATTTCCCAATATTTTTTCATAATTAACCACACTAGTTTCTTTTATGATTTCTCCGATCTATAATTGATAGAAATAAAATAAAAATTTGAGTTAGAAAACTTATAATATTGGAAATTTTACAGTTATATAAAATAACCAATTATCGATTTTTGATTATTAAATTATCCATTTCTTATTATTCATTTTGAAAGGCAACTTGAAATTCATGGGCATTTCCACACAAGAGGTATAACAAAAAATCTTTCCAGTTTTATAAACTATACTTTTAACAGTTTTTTAACATTTTCTCACTCTTTAGATTTACAAGATAAATTTTATATACACGCCATTTATCACAAACTCTTTTACATCTTTGGCATACCAATCGCAGATCGCCTAACATTTCCTATATACGTTTCCCATCAGCACAAAAGTCAAATTTTACAAAAATATATAAATAACCTCTTAATATTTATTAGTAAAATAATAATTTTTTAGCTTCCCTTAAGAATGATATATTCTAATTAAGACAGAAAAGCTTCTCGAAAATGATTTATTTTAGTCATTTAATTTTTATGGACATTATATCTAGCCAAATTATAATAAGGAATTTAACAAGGTGAACACCTCTTGGTCCTGTTTACTGCTTAGATATTAAAAATCATAAATAAAATAGATAACCTTCTTAATATAAATCTTAACTTCCTTGCTGAGTCCTTCTTTATTCTCATCAAGCTAAAATAGTAGATGTCCTCTAAGGTCCACCAAAAAATATATTTAGGATTCCCCATTGGCAACCTCGTGCCCTCCCCACATTCTAAAGTGTTTATAAATACTCTTCTCTTTAACACCAAGCCTCTATTCTTTAAAATATTTCCTTATTACTCCATTTTAAAAATAATAGGCTCTTTAAAATTCTTCATATCAGATCTTTAATATGACTTTGCCATTCACATTTTTATTAAGAATTTTAATTTGGCAGTTAAACTTTCCGTTGAATTTTTACTTTGACTAACTACTTTAGATCTTACAAACTAATTAACTCTTTCGTGATTTTAAACTGTCCTAGAGATAAAAATTCTTTTAGCCCCTTGATTTAACAATTATTACCATTTGCTAATTAAGTGGCTTTTTCTTAAAAAGATTGATATCAATATGTATTTCAGCAGGAAAATTCAAATATGAAGCATAGGGTGAAGCTAAGTGATTTTTAAGATTTTAAAAACGTTGAAAAAATATTAGTGAATTTCAAAACATCTTTAATAAATTTGTAAATTTTAGCACAAGCTAAAACTATGAGGTTAATCAGTTAATCAGATAGTGAACATATTATAATCTAAGCAACATTGACACAACTAGATCCAAATTAAGGGAAGACGAGAGAGTTGCTATGAAACTATTAATGTTTAGAACTTGAAATTTAGTTCCATAAGCATTCTATAATATGAATAATTTTGGATTATTTTTTTAAAATATCTCAACTATTTTTTTTTCAATAAAATGTGTTTTTGAAGTGCTTCACTATTTGCGATAATGCCCATTAAATAATTGATAAAATGAAATTATGTTAAAATTAAAATACATTTTTCGTTTTTAGGTAAGTTCCATACATACATCTTATCTAATATTTTTAGTGGATATGGCTGATACTAATAATATTGGCCTGGGCTAATTGGGAATTAAATTATATTCAATATATTATAATCTTGTTATATTTATATAAAATAATAAAGAATTAATAAGTATAGAATAAAATGAAATCAATTATGGATGATAGAGTTAAATTAAGGAAAAGTAAGATATTTAAATTTTATGCATTTTTATTTGACGTAGTGGGATATGTAATTTATGGGTATTGGAATCTCTTCTTTTAAATCATTTAATGAAGGTAATTTTTAAATTTGAAATATTTTATATTACCGGAAATGCATTCTAGCACATGTAGAGTACCTACCCTATAAAATTCAGACAATTTTTTGCGACAAATCATTGCTTATATTTTTTTAATTTACAAAAATCTTATATAAAAATAAATATAAATTAAGAATAATTAAAAGTTCAAGGAAAATAGAATATATTCGGATCAAATCAAATTTTTTTGAATAGTAAAATAGTCTATATTCTATAAGAATGAGAGATTCCGAATCACAGTACAACACATATATTTCTTTAAAAAATAATGTCATAATTGATCATTTTTATATGAATATTTTAAAATTTAATAAATATTAATATTTTTTATCAACCTCTAACTATAAATATATTTAAAAGTTTAAGATATCTCATGGTGTTTTCTAAATTCCGATACGAATACTATGTCTGTGATAGTTTTGAAAATATAGCATCGACTACCCCATAAAATATCCTAGTAAAATTACCTATTATTTAAGTCAAATTGAAAAATTTCATATTTTGAACTTTACTTAATTCATATTAAATTGGCATTTTTAGTCTTAGTCTTATAATATTAATATTGGACTAATATAGACTAAATATAATATTCAACAACCCACCCCCCCCCTCCCCCACCCCCTTTCCTTCCACCCCCATACATATAAAAACCTTTGAAATATGATAAATCTTATGATTATTAAAATATTAGATTATAACTTATTACCCTTTTATTTCACTGGATTAAAAATCTATTTAAAACAAAGTTTTGTGAAACTAGAATTAATAGTTCAAAAGCATATATATAGAGAAGACTATTTTTAGCGCAACCATATAAAGGTCTGAGAGAAAAGTCCTAACCATGATTAAAAAGTCGACTTCTTTCTAAATTCAAATGTCAACAGTGAGATAAAGAATATCATAAATAAAGTCAATATAGATAATATACAACATTCCCTTGAGTTCTTAGGTTTAAACCCAACAATTTGCAAAAGGTTCCATGAATTTAATCATATCTCTTGAAAAGGCTTTCATTGATATGGGATTAAATCTATATGAGCATTTTTGCGAAATCAAATACACATAAAACTTTTCTTTCGTCATCAGAAAACAAGAAAATGAAACAAAATTACCTATAATCCATATATTATTTTCAGGAGTTCCCCACATTGGGTAATTTAGGTACGAAGCATAATCTTTTTAAAAAAAATAAGGGGAAAAATTTCAGCACTCAATAGTTAGACATATGTAGGTTGAGGTAGGCGTCTGCGGTAAAATCTTTGTGGTTTATTGTGCCACGGTGCGTCATGCCGTAAGTGTGAATAAATTTTTGTAACGGGCATTTTCCAAAAAAATCTTCCGGGTATTTTAGAATTTTGCATGAATCACGGAAAATTTTAAATGTAATATTTTCTATAACCTAACCTCTTTCCTTACATATTTTATCTTAGAAACTTTAGGAGACTATATTTAGAAGAGATTTTTTTTCTTTTTTTGAAATTCAAGAATTTTCACATTTATCAAAAAAAAGAATAAATTATTATAAATTTTCGAAATTTTTATTTTTAGGAAAAGCTTATTTCTTTATTATATTAAAGTATCCTACTTTTTTTTTAAAAAAAATTAACCAGTTATTTTGTTAGCCCCAGCTAGTTTTTTGGTTTTCAGTGAATAATTTTTCTATGGTTGGTGATAATTTACTAGATGTAAGACGAACGCAACTAAAATAAAAAAATATTTGAATTTTTCATATTTTAATTAAAATTTTGTAAATTATTCTTAAAAATAGTCCGCAATTTTTTGGCCGTAACAGGATGATAAAACTTTGACTTTCGGTAATGAGCAACCCTTTTTTAGTGTAACGGGAGTGGGCAGGTCTTGAATTAAAATTTAGGCCCGAGCCCACCTCTAATGTCAAGTATAAAATAATTTATTGTACTTTTAGAATTTTATTAATTTTGTTTTTATCATTTTTAAATCTTCTCATAAACTCTTAAATTATTTTTATGGAGTGGTCTTTAAAATTGGACTTGAGTATTGGCATTTTTTTTCTAACCAGATGAGAAATGAATGCAAATCGAATAAAAAGCTGTTCTTCTTTATTGATCAGAAACTATGCACTTTTACCATGATAATGTTATAAATTCTGTAAAAAAAGATTTAATTTTTTATTCGGACGTCAAATAAAGTGGGAATAATTATATAGCTAAACTAATAAAAACTTTTTCAAATTATTTTAATTTTTGTTAACTCTAGTCCATAACTCAGATCTGTCGGATATTTTAGATTTCTCAGAGCACAATATGTTGTGAAAACCCATAAAAATCTATACCTAATCTACAGTTTATATATATTTACCTATTTTTATCTTAAATTAGAATTGTCCGATCTAATGATTCGGCAAGATCCTCGCTGTCACATTTTCTCACTCGTCACGCTTTTTTTTACATTTATTAACGAACAAGGTTTAATAGATGAAACATCACTCTAGGTTAGTATTAATGTCATTGTATAAACCTTTATTATTTACCAAATCCTAACCGAATGTGAAAGTGATTAAAAAAAAAATTACCCGAACCTTAATCGAATCTCTAAAAAAATACCAAGTGTTTGAATTATTTAACATATTAACTGCTTTAAATGTTTTTATTGGTTAATTTTGATTTATAAATATCAGTTATCATTTTTAGATGTTTATTATTGCTATTTACAGTTTCGATATCCTCAAAAATGGCTTAGATAAAATCTAAAATGATGTAGTTCTCTACATATAATTATAATGTTTAAATAAGAAATGTTTCGAAACAATTTATGAAGGTATAAACCAAGTAGATATTATTATTTTTCTTATACCGAATCCCAACCTTTATTATTTTCTGAATTAAACGGAATCGATATTTGTTACAGGGATCCCTAGATATTTGATTTGATTAAAAGTTAAATTCTCATCATGAATCTCGATCAAAATTATATTTACCTAAGTATTTAAATATAATAAAGGGAAGACTAAAGGATGCATGTTATGAAGAAGAACTCCCCCCCCCCCTCCAAAAGAATATCCCTCATTTAGACTGAAAAACATCTGGAAACCCTG